AGAAGGGGAGAGCAAAAGAGGCCCAAGATGGGAAACTGAGGCCTGGAGGAGAGTGGAGCAGCAAGAGCTTCGTGCTGAAGTCGAAACTCAGCCGAGGGGTGGATTTGGAGTGGCTGGGTCTAATTTACAGTCAGGGGTCTCTGCCGGGGTGGAGCCGCCTGCCCTGGTCACCGAGTCCCAGTCACCCAGGTCCGTTCTGAGTTGCCACACTCGGAAGGTTCAGTGGCCAAGAGTAACAACGTTGTGGAGTGGCCTCGGCAGCCCCTCCTGGGGCCAGGTCAGCCTCCCCTTAGAGTCCCCAGGTCAGGGAAGTGAGCCTTGGTCTCTTAGCACAGGACCTTGGTCTGTCATCTTCTGGTCCGTCTCAGTTGTCGCTCTGACTCTCGGTACGTCCTGGGACCCACCGGAGATTGGAGGTTACATCCCAAGTTTCCTGGGGTCTATATCGGGGCCCCCATGAGAGAAAATTCACCTGGGGGCTGAGCATCAGGTGCGTGACCATGCTGTTCTATCTAGTGTCTCATTTTTCTTCGGCGGGATTGTATTTTCTTTCAGTATCTCACCTCCTTTTGTACTTTCCCATTTCCGCTGCTGGTCACCGCTTTTTTCGATTTCTACATTTCATGAATACATTACTTCTGTCCTTCTGAGTCATTAATAAAGATGTTAAATAATTCTGAACCAAATATTCACCCCTGTAGGGCCCTACAGGACACTTTCCTTTAATTAGTTGTGCTACCTTTCATCTCTCTAATGTCCTTTGGTTTCAGATTTCCAGCTGGTTTTGAACATGTGACTTTTTATCCAGTTCTGTTTGAACTAATTTCACCAGTGAAACTCTGAGAGACGTTTTACTGAGCGTTGATTCAGGTCCAGGCCTACCGAGAGCTCTGCTATATTCAGATTTTTTTTTAAAACAGATTAATAGAGTACAATTTGGTCTTAATAAACGGAGCCTTCCTAATGCACCTCTTTCCAATATTCTTTTCAATCATAGCAGTATTTTCTCCGTTAATGTCATGGTAATTTGAATTGTGTTGACGTCAGACTTCACAAAAAGTACTCTTACTGTCAGAAGTGATCCTTTTAGGCCTTTTCAGAGAGAGCTATTTCTTAGTGGCTGTGCTGTTTCCAATGTCTTACAGTGACTTCGTTTTAAGAAAATAAAAATAAGTGGGTGTTCTGTAATCACCTAATTAACCAGTTTCTAATGTGCTTTCATACACAAAATAGGGAGTAATTTAAACTGGTGAGCGACCAGAATTCATAGTGTTTTATTAAATAATTTAAAATTGGGCAGCCATTTAAAAAACTCTTATGTCTTTAAAACGTAACTGACAAGAAGTGGACTATTCTGAGGTTAATTGCTGAACAACACAGGTTGTGAAGGTTACCATCAATGGTATTTGGCGCATGGAAATCCTTGGACCTAAGATGAGGGCGCAATCCTACTGTATGGCTGGAAGAAGGCATCTCTTTGTATCAAACGAGATTCTGTTTTTAGATTAACCCGTTCTGTGTGTCAGTTCAGGGGGCCCACTACTTCATACCAGGCTGTGAGATTAACTCTTGATTAAAATATAAAAATAGATCTAAAATAAGTGTGTGAGACATTTGTTAGGAGGTCATTCTTTGCCTTCTGTGTGTGCGGGATTTTTAAAAACCTTTATCAGTAAAAATAGAAAATGTTATAGTTCTAAGAATTGTTGTAGCCATATGGTACAGCCATATAGCTACCCTCTCTCTCTTTTTTTTTCTTATATACCTGCACAGTGTATTTGATGAGGTCCTCTTGCTAGCTCTTTAACTCACTTATTTTTTTTTAAACTTTTTTTCTTTTTTAAAGATTTTATTTATTTGACAGAGAGAGACAGCGAGAGCAGGAACACAAGCAGGGGGAGTGGGAGAAGGAGAAGCAGGCTTCCCGCTGAGCAGGGAGCCCGATGCGGGGCTCGATTCCAGGACCCTGAGATCATGACCTGAGCCGAAGGCAGACGCTTAACGACTGAGCCACCCAGGCGCCCCTCTTTAATTCACTTATTAACATTAGGAGAAGTTCTCCAAGCAAACAAAGGGCAACTAATCTGACCCTCTTTGCAAACAGACTAGAAGCATCTGCATTCAGGAGATAGATCAGGGCTGGATTTCATCCTAGACAGCCAGTGGAAACTTCTCTAAACAATAAGGTTTAAAAATAAAATCCTTTTGAAGTAGCAGGGCTGTCTCTGCTCAGGGAGAAATAAAAAGTTAATAAGGCAACATGGTGGGTCCACTGATGATGTTTATAGAACCGTTTAAGAAGCAAAATATAACCCCCTTAAAATATTTTTTTTTTTTTTTACATTAGTTATAAGGTTCTTTTTATCCTCTCCCAAGAGTAGAGAAGTAGCATTTATTTGGGATGTGCGAGAGTCTTGCTGGAGCAGATATCACAGTCTAAGTGCAGGAATCCAGAAGGGCTGTCCAGAAAGAAACATGGCGATCACAGTGGACTTGGGTGTAAATGTGAGTCTTTGCTGGGATTTACATAAAACTGCAGGCTCTCTTGCCGCCCTAAAAGACAGAGGTAGAGGACTTCTACTGTGCAGGGGTTGGCCCATTTTTTTTTACAAAGAGCCAGACGGAGAATGGGCTAGGCTTCGTGAGCCCTGCAGCTACGCCCTGCTGTGGTGTTAGCCACGGGCAATACGTCAATGAATGGGTGTGCTGCAGGCCAAAAACACTCCATTTGTGGGCGCTAAGATCAGGATTTCATGTATTTTCGCATGTCATGGGACATTGTTACTTTTTTGACATTTCTTTCACGGGCCATACAAAGGCAAGCAGTGGCCTGGATTTGGCTTGTTACAGGCAAAGCCACTAGGTGGCCAGTTCCTGCTCTGGTGCACACATAGATCATGGGTCCCCCACACACCTGGGGCTCTTCTGGGGACCCCATACATGCTCAGTAAACACGTGTTCACTTAGCTGTCACCGAGTCAGGGCAAAGAGCAAGCCTTCAGCTGTATGGCACACACTTGACATTTGCAAGGGATTTATCTTGCAGTCTTCGCTAATCCCCCCATTCCAAGTCCCACTCTTGCAGATAATTTCCCCCATAAAATGCAGTCAAGTATAACAGAATAATTAAAGTGACCCTTTCAGACCCTTCATGATTCTATAAATATGGGGCGAAAGTCCTCTACTGAGTGATTAAAAGAAATTCTGCCCCTGAAATCCACTCTCTGTCACATTACATCATTGCTATGATGACACGAACGATGGATTCACCTCCATCGGCAGAACCAACCCGTAGTGCTAACGAGCGACGGTAGCCGCTCCACCGTACAGCACCCGTGTTTGCCGAGGAGCAGAATCAGACCTCCCTCTCAGCAGGTGGGCCAGCCCGACCAGCCCCGAAAGTCCATCGTGATAAGCATCAGACATATAAAGGAGCGGAGAACAGTAGGCTGCTTCAGGAAGCAGGTGGTAGGCTGGGGTTGGGCATGACTGATGCCTTCCCAGGGCCATCAGTGGCTTCCTCCTAGACTTGATCCTCCACGTGGATACATTTGGCATTTATGGCTTAGCCAGATTTCACCTGGTTTTGTGTCTCTGGCCCTGGAGGTTGGTTTCAAATGTCAAGAGTGTGAGTAGGAAATGCTCTCATGCTAAAGATCTGCTGTACTTTATATCGGCCAGAAGCAGAATTTTCTGTCCTGTTTTGGTCACCATATTGTAGAATACAGACATGCTGGAAATGGTCTACAGAAGAACAACAAAATGATCAAAACGATAGACGGTAACATCTGTAGAAGAAAACTGAAAGAAATCAGGATTGTCTCATCTTTGAAAGGGAAAGTGATTCTTGCCATCAAATAAAGGCCTTTTTCTTTTAAGGAGAATTCGTAATTTTTTTTTTTTTTTTTTTTTTAAGCTGTGTGGAATACTTGATTTGTTTTAAGATTTTATTTATTTATTTATTTATTTGAGAAGAAGAGCACGAGTGGTGGGGGCGGGGCGGGGGGGGCGGAGAAAGAGAGAGAGAATCCCAAGCAGACTCTGTGCTGATTGCAGAGCCCAACATGGGGCTCGGTCCCATGACCCTGAGATCATGACCTGAGCCAAAACCAAGAGTCAGACTTTTAAGGAGATTTTGATGAGACATTGCAAACAGAGAAGTAAGGTGCATAAGCCTACATGAATTGGTACCATTGGAGAAGAAAAAGTTGACCACAGTGGTGTGGCATCTGACTACTGGATATTAGGTGGCTGATTGGGTTTTTTTCTTGAAGTTTTTCCCTGCAGTATACTCCTTGATTCAAATAGCCCAACTGTGGGGCGCCTGGGTGGCTCAGTCGTTAAGCATCTGCCTTCTGCTCAGGTCATGATCCCAGGGTCCTGAGATCGAGCCCCACGTCGGGCTCCCTGCTCAGCAGGAAGCCTGCTTCTCCGTCCCCCACTCCCCCGCTTGTGTTCCCTCTCTCACTGTGTGTCTCTCTGTCTGTCAAATAAATAAAATCTTAAAAACAAAACAAAACAACAAATAGCCCAACTGAGACAGACAAAAAAATAGGCACTGCTTTCTAGGGAATTAAATTTATCCAGAATGACGTTTATTCCAGCTTACTGATAATGCTTGTGGGCCTAGCATCAGCAGACTCCTTGTCCTTCACTTCATGTTGTACGGTGAGCCTCCAGAGGCTGTAAGGTAGTGAGCATTTTCGAGACTCTGGTGAGATCTCACTCTTCAGACAGAATGTCAGACTCTTCAACTGTATTTTCAACTGTCTTGTGAGATGAAGACTAATTGGTTTGACCTCACGCTGTCGCATGTTGAGAGACATGAATCTTCGGCACTCTTCCTTGAATTCATTGATTTCATTAAACACTGTCTGCTTGTGTTTGCAAAATGTTGTAATTTCCCAGTGATTTCTTCGAACGGCAGCACATAAACAGATTTTTTGGAACAATGCCATTTCTTAGCTTTGATCTTGTGTATGAATCTTTATTTCCAACAGGTCTTTTACATTAAGTCCATTGAGCCACGGAAGATATCGACTTTAGGGAAAAGTAACGTGATCGTCACGGGGGCAAACTTTACCCAGGCATCCAACATTACGATGATCCTGAAAGGAACCAGTACTTGCGAGAAGGATGTGTGAGTTGACATAATAGTAATTTATCCTTGATAATATAGTAAAAAGCTCAAACTTATGCCAGAGGCATATCATTGTGACTATAATCTTTCAAAGTATTACCATGTGCCAAAGTGGGCCATTGGTCTGCATATTTTTTTTTCTTTTCTTTTTTTTTTAGTATCTTTTTTTATCATGTTATGTTAATCACCATACATTACATCATTAGTTTTTGATGTAGTGTTCCATGATTCATTGTTTGCGTATAACACCCAGTGCTCCATGCAATACGTGCCCTCTTTAATACCCATCACCAGGCTAACCCATCCCCCCACCCCCCTCTCCTCTAGAACCCTCAGTTTGTTTCTCAGAGTCTATCGTCTCTTATGGTCTGCATATTTGATAAGACATAATTTCAAGAAGCAGAATAATTTAAAGACCACATTTGAAGTTAATTGTGAGAGAATCTGTTTCCTCTTACCACCCAAAACCTCAGGGTGTTGCCTATTTGAGGTCTTGATTCGTATCCATTAACAAAATCAAGTAGTTTGAGTAGCAATTGAAGATGATCCCCTTAGAAAAATAGTTGCATACTTAGGACTTTGACAGTAAGATAGGACAGCTCTTCCAAGGTATCACCCAAAGTTGAAAAAAGAAATTTTCTGATCTGTTTTATTCTTTGTAGCCTTCTCTTCGTTGGATTGGTGTCAGGCTAAATAAACTAAATGGAACATGTATTAGTAGTTAAAGAAAAAAGACCAAACACCCCAACACAGATATCTGGTTAGTGTACCATTTGAATATCATCATTTCTATCACTTCTTTCCCCCTAACTCATCCTTTCAATGAAACTTTGAGAGAAAATAATTTTTCAGTGTCTCCCTGACATCCTTGTGCAAATGTTACCCCCAAGAGAGATGTCATAATAATAACACAATAGATAATTTGAGTTTTCTGCTTGTTAGCTTTTATAAGTGGTTAATTTGAAGTAAAAGACATCGCAGTCTGTATGAAGTATAACACTGAGCTCGTTCTCATCATGGAAATGCATTGGAGACAATGTGCTGAAGCGTGGTGTTTTGGTTTTTAACTACTACAGCGGATTTGTACGGCATTTTAATCTGCCACACTTATTTACTGAATTTTCTGTTTTAATTCATTTGCTGCATATAACTGCCATCCTCCTCCCCCTCCTCAGAGTAAATTTGGGGTGCCTGTCATCTTGATGGAGCAAGCTGTTCATGGGTGGCTCTGCTGTTTACCAGAATTCTCAAGCACACATTAGCAGCTATAGACATTTTTGTGCCGTTGATCCTGGCTAAATACCTTATTGTGAAAATCTTTCATTATGTGTAGCAAAATCTGTGAAGTTAGACACCTGTGTGTTCACTGAAAGGCAATCACCTTCACCGGAAAATAAGTTGGTGTTCAGAGCATTACCCTATTTTTGACTCTTTATGCTCTCATTTCAATTCCGAATGTGTCTTGAGATACTGCAGTTATTAAATTAAATGACTCAGAGGCCTTTCTGCATGTAGCATTTCGGTAACCACATCAGAGTGGTGAACCCAAGTTCACGAGAAGTAAACATAATACCCAGTTAATCCTATATCTGAGTTCATGCCATAATCCCAAACTCTTTTCATATGGTATTCTTCAAATGCCTAATTATTCTGAAGGGAAAAATACAAGAATAATAGCAGAATGACCCACATTTCCCCCCTCTCTCCTTCCAAAATTTATAAACAAGTCTGGATTTTAATGATCAGCCATTTTACGATGATTTCCTAGGGCGTGGCTCTGAATATAAAGTTTAGAATGTAAATCCGAGGTAGTGTGACTGCACATTGACTCAGATGATTTTTGAATTTGCCTTATTGCTAGGATTCATTATTACTCCTTAAAAGGTGTGTGCGTTAACTTTAATAATCATGCACATATCCTTTAGTAACAGTAGATTCACACGTAACATACTGAGCATTATTCAGCACAACCCAGCCTTAATGATTTTTTGCTTTAGAGGCTCCTTGTAGACATGATGTACAGAGGAAGTGCAGGTTACAGAGGGAATAATGTAGAAGGCTTTGCTTTGACCCCTGAAGGGTGTCGAAGGCAGGTCCTGTGGACGTCAGAAGCACCCAGGATATTCCCAGTTAATTTCTCGTCTGGAGCTCCTTGGGAGACAGCTTCGCTCTGATGCTGATTGAACCCTGAGACCCCTGGATTCTTGGCACAGACTCTGGTCATGGGCTCTCTGCTCTCCGAATGGCAGAATCTTCTATCTGCCTGGGATGGGGTTCTACCCTTCTACCGCTCAACTGGAACTTCTCTTTTTTTAAGCTTTCCATTACAGAAATTTCCAGTCATACCCAAGAGTGAAGAGTGCATCAAATTTCTCTGTACCCATCCTCCAGCTTCAAAACTTAGCAACATTTTGCCACTCTCGTTTCGTTTTTGGAGGGGAGGGATGGATGGTGGCTAGAGTAAGCATATCGCAGATGCCATATCCTTTCCCTCACACACACTTCAGTATATGTCTCCAGCAGATGAGGGTAGTGCCATTCTCATACTCAGCCAAATTAACAGGAATTCCTTAATATAACTTAGTACCCAGTCCATGTTCCACTTTCTGTTAGGACTTCCTATGGGAAATGGTTACATCTCCTTTCCCCACTTCTAAGGTAAATGCAAAAACATTAAAATACAAAAACATAAAAGAGACATAAAAATGCATAGAAGAAAGAGGACCCCTGCCCCAGATGATGCCCACAGTGGTCAGGGGCCCCTGATGAACCAGCAGTTGCCTCCAACTGTTCTGATAGTTTGTGAACTGTTGCAGTTCAAGTAAAATTCATACACAGTCATGTGCAGAAGCCAACTATGCTAAGCGTCTGGGTCCTTTAAGAGTTGTTTTTCTGCCCTTTTCTAGGATACAGGTTAGCCATGTGCTAAACGACACCCATATGAAATTCTCTCTACCATCAAGCCGAAAAGAAATGAAGGATGTGTGTATCCAGTTTGACGGCGGGAACTGTACATCTGTGGGACCCTTGTCGTATATTGCTCTGCCACACTGTTCCCTCATATACCCTGCCACAACCTGGATCAGGTGCTTTCTAGATTCGTATTTTTCTGTCTTTGTGTTTAAAGGGGTCATGATCTCAGGGTTGTGAGATCGAGCCCCACATCGGGCTCTGTGCTGGGTCTGAGGCCTGCTTAAGATGATCTCTCTCTCCCTCTGCCCCCTTCCCCCCAGCCTGCTCTCTTTCTCCCTCTCTTAAAAAAAGAAGAAGACGAAGAAGACGAAGAAGAAGAAGACGAAGAAGGCGAAGAAGAAGAAGACGAAGAAGACGAAGAAGAAGAAGAAGAAGAAAAGGGTCATATGCATAAAAATCACGGATTTCATTCAGATAAATATAGAAATAATAGTCCTATGTAAATTCCTCTCACAGACTTCCCCTTTGGATTTATTCCTAGAAAACACACACATACCTGACCAGCAGTTGTCCCTGTGAACACTGTCAGCATATCCTGCTTTCCTCTGAGCTGTGGCTGCCAGGAAGCTCACAGCTAAAATGTGTGTTCATACTGTGGTTTCTCTTCAGATTGTATAAGTCTTTTGCCTTTTAAAATGTTCGTTTCATTGAGGTACCTACTCTTAGCTTACGTTTCCGGTACAAATACACAACATCTCACTCCTGCCTGTGACACAAAGCTTCTCTCCTACAACTTTCATTTTATAACCTTTCGAGTAAGCTGTTTTGAATAATTCGAGGAAATATTGGGAGCTATCTAAATGAAAAGCAGTATCTACATTTCAAAGATACTCCCTCAGAGAGAGATTGACATTCCAAAATAAACTCTTCCAGATGACTCCAATATATTAAAAAAAAAAAAAAATTGTCTGCCTAGTTGAATTTAAATTCACATTCGGATTTTGGAATATAACCCTAAAGATATTTTCATAATAAGAGATTTCACCTAACACAGCATGAAGCTGATTTTCAAAGTACTGTCTAGATGAAAATGTAGATGAATCTTTGTTTTAAAAAAAAAAAAAAAGAGAAAAAAACCAGAAGCAAAACACTTCCAGTCCAGTGTTCAGAGGCAGATGTCGGGATTGGTTTCTTCCAAGGCCTCTTTTCTTGGCTTGCAGATAAATGGTCTCCCTCTGTCTTCACCTTGTCTTCCGTCTGTGACTGTGTCCCAATCTCCTCTTTTATGAGGACACCGGTCATATTATTGGATTAGGGCCCACCCCAGTGACCTCATTTAATCTTAATTACCACTTTAAAGACCCTGTCTTCAGATACAGTCAAATTCCAAGGGACTGGGGGGTTGGGACTTCAACAGTTCTGCCTCTAACCTTGGCATGAGAAAAACTGAAATTTCCAAACCAAGCCCCCAGCATTGCACTCCCCGCTCAGGGTCTAAATCCTTCCTATAAATAAAACCAAACATTGATGTGGCACTCCCCACGTGCCTTGTGTGTTACATCTAGTAACTCAGTTAATGGTCACAAAAGGAATAGCAATAGCCCCTTTAGCAGAAGAGGAAACTGAGGCATAGAGCATTCAAATCAACTTGCTTGGGCTCCCAGGCAATCTGGCGCAGGCTGCTGTGCTCCAAGCCACCAGCGTTCTGTTTTGCCATCAAATAAGAGGCTTCTTTATTATCTTTTTAATTGAAGTATAGTTGGCCTACAATATTATATTAGTTTCCGGTGCACAGCATAGTGATTCGATTAGGCTTCTTAGTGTCCAGTCACCTATGCTGTTCTCAGCCCGTGACTCTGAGTTATGCCTGGGCAAGGGTGAGGCTCTGCAGTCTGGCCATCAGCCGAGCGTGCTCGACTCCGCTTTCTAGTAATGGCGACAGGCTGGCATGAGGCCAACTCGACCCTCCCCCCCCCCCCCTTGTGACTGGTTTGGGGCTTAATGTCTTCCTCCTGCCCTACACAAATTGGCCGCCTCATGCTCACCTCGAGGTCTCGTCATCCTGGCTGGGCCCGGCTGGTGCACAGAGCTGACGTTCCCAGGCTCCTGTACCCTGGAATGACCTACATGAACAGGGCGGGGGGGTGGGGGGTGGGGAGGATTGAGGGCAGCCAGAGCCGTGGACAGCTGTTTATTTCACATCTAATGACCACTTTGCTTATATGCGATTATGTGCTGAGAATATGTGAAATCATTTGGCTTGGTTTTGGAGAGAGAGAACGTAGCTGTTATTTATATGGCCTACCAAATGGGAATTTATAGTTTTAATGTCATTTATAATTTTACCTTGTCCAAAATGTTCCCTATCTCCCTAAATAAAGTATAATTGGTAGGTTGGGAGTTTGATTTTGAAAATTGTTAGATTGAAGTATCTTAATATAGATTAAACAGCAATCAAACAAAATTCTGTTTAGTGAAACCTTTTCAGGGTATAGCCGATGATCTGATTATGTGTGGCAACACGACACGGCAAGGCTCCAAATTCTGTAAAAGAACTTGGGAATTTTCCTAGAATTAAAACAGGATCTGATCTGAATTTTTATATTTATGTATCTTAAAAACTATACATTTGTGGCCAGTATCATTAAAAGACTGCTAGAATTGGCCTGCATTGGAAATTAAAATGTATTACTTGGCTCTCAAACATAACTGAGTTTAATATTAAGTGTGAATAAAGTGATAGCTTTGTTCATAAATGCAAAATGCCTGTATGTTTACTATGAAACTCCTATTGTTGCTTTTTCTCTTTGCAGTGGTGGCCAAAATATAACTATCGTGGGCAGAAATTTTGACGTAATTGACAACTTAATCATTTCACATGAGTTAAAAGGAAACATAAATGTAAGTCTTCAGCTACCTTGTAATAATAGTAATTTTCAAGGATGATGTTGTTTTCCTCACAGGGACATCTCTTGGGGAATATCTTTTATTTCTGTGCCTTTGTGATATTACAAGCTTTTACCTGTTGGGGGATGTACACCATCTGGGCTATAATGGAAATAATAAGACCTTCTCCTTGCGGTGGAGTATTTCCGACCGTGGCACGCAGGAGAGAGGAATGAGCTTGGTATGACAAGGCCTGCCATTTCCGCCATGTGGACTTTGGAGGGAGGCACTTTGAGACAGTGTTTAGGAACACGTGTGAAAATGCCTTGTGAGGGGCGAAGGTGAGATGTCCAGAAGAATAGCAGTTCCGCGCAGTCGGTGGTGGAGTTCCCATCGTGCCCACAGAGCTGTGGTGCGGAGGCCAAGTGACCTGCCCAAGCCCCAGCAATCTTGTCATATACTCCTGCTCCTGCTGTTGTCTGGCTTGGTCCCTTTCCTTCTGACCTGGCGTCCTCTCATCTTGCGTGCCCCCACACAAGGGTCCGGTCCCCAGCCCTTGTCCACTTGCTGCCACCCACGGGAGTCACGGGAGGGCCTCGTGACACAAAATGATGCCTTTCAGATACCGGCTGGGGCCTCCGAGTACACTCCTACACTCTTCTCGAATTCTCTCCTCATTCTCTCTTCCCCTTTTTCTCCTTCCTTAACGAGAGATGTGAAGGCAGCAGCCTCTCCGGGCCCTACCTGACCACTTCACGCCCAAGCTGGCTGGTCTGCCCGTGGCCACAGACATGGCCATGCTTGGGACCAGTGTGGGTTTGGGCCTAGGCACAGACAGCCTTCCTGAGTCACCCTGACAGCCGCGTCGTACACACATCCGCCTCCTGACACACCCAGCGCCAGTTCCAGGCCTCACCTTGTATCTGATTCTAGGCCCTGTCTCCACAGTGGAAACACACACCGTTTTTTGGTTCTTCATATGGCCAGAAGTGTGAACGAGCGATCCAGGGCCGGACGGGTGTTAGGGGGGAAGGAGGTTTTGTTTGTCTCAGCCCCTTGCATCAGATCTTCCCACCTATGGCCTCTTCCTACTCTCTTTTCTTTTTCTTTCTTTTTTTTTTTTTTTTAAGATTTATTTATTTATTTTTTTATTTGAGAGAGAGGAAGCGAGAGAGCACATGGGGGTGCAGGGCAGAGGGAAAGGCAGAGAGAGAATCCCAAGCAGATTCCATGCTGAATACGGAGCCTGATGTGGGGTTCAGTCCCACAAACCCGAGATCATGACCCGAGCTGAAATCAAGTCCGACACTTGACCAACTTAGCCACCCAGGTGCCCCCCTGCCCTCTCTTTTTAACGCCAATATTAGAAAGTAAAAAACAGGTAAACTCCCACCTGACGAATTTTTTTTTCCACAAGTTTTATTGCTCTTTGTTTTTTTGTTTGTCTGTTTTTTTGAGATTTATCTTTAAGCAATCCATACCAAACATGGGGCTCGAACTCCCAGCCCCATGGTCAAGAGTTGCACACTCCCCAGACTGAGCCAGCCAGGCGCCCCTTATTGTTCTTCTTTAAGACCTTTGTCAACCTCTTCTTTTCCAGAGGCTTTCTCTGTCCATCTCTCTGCAGCCCTAAAAATGACAGTATTTATGGTCTTTTTTAAATAAATAAAGCTGTGAAGCAGGCCACACTTTCTGTACTCTTTCCAGCCTTCATGCCCCGCATTTTCCTGGGGGCCCACATTGTCCCTTTTGCTTTTGTTTCCCTGATTTCCTGTTAGGCCTGCAAAACCTTTTCCTCACTTGGGGTCAGTGACTTCCGCTAAACGCCAGGGGACGTTCCCTGACAAGGAGGGATGCAGCCAGCGGTGGTGTGCAGCTCCCTGCAGCCTCCCTGGGGGATGGTCCCCTCCCTGCCCGCATTTCCCCACCCACCTCGGGGGCTCGCAGGACACACAGACCCTGCAAAGTCTTTGGTACCGAGTGTCCCTCTTTCACTAGGCTCCTTCTCTCTGCACATCCCTTCTCCGTTGCATGACCTCTGGCTGCCCCCATTACCGCTAAGAGTGTTCGCAGTGATAGCAGCTAGGGTTCCTTGAGTGCTGACTGGGTGCCCGGCATGATTCCAAGCATTTCTGCACATGTAATCCCATGTAATTTAGCCCCCATTTAGTTTAATGAGCCCTCATCACATTTAATTTGATTTTGGGTTCATTCAACCTCGTAAGGGCAGGGTAGTATCGCTCTCCCCATTTTGCAGATGAGAAATTGGGAGCACAGAGAAGTTCGGTTGTCTGGGTCACCTCGCTCCTCCATCGCAGGGCTGGAGCTCGGTAATGAAGTTGTTAAAAATGCTCTTTTCTCCTCCCTCAGGTCTCTGAATATTGTATGGCGAATTCCTGCAGGTTTTTAGCCCCCAGTTTAAAGAGTTCGAAAACACGTACAAACGTCACCGTGAAGCTGAGAGTCCAGGAGACCTACTTAGACTGCGGAAGCCTGCAGTATCTTGAGGACCCCAGGTTCACAGGGTGTCGGGTCGAACCCGAGGGGGACACAGAACTGGAAGTGAAAATTCAAGTATGTTTCTCACTTCCTTCGGGTGGGACACGCCCCCTGCCTTGATGGGCAAGGTGTCTTGTGTCTGTGGGTTCCCTTGGGCGCCCTGGTTTCTTCATCTCCTCTTTGTTCTTCACAGAAAGAAAACGATGAGTTCAACATCTCCAAGACGGACATTGAAATCACCCTCTTCCACGGGGAAAATGAGCAATTAAATTGCAGTTTTGAAAATATTACGAGAAATCAAGATCTCACCATCATCCTTTGCAAAATTAAAGGCATCAGTAACGCAAACAGCATTGACACCTCTTCCAAGAAAGTTCGCGTAAGTCGCCTGACACTCCTACCTGTTGGTTGTACCTTATTTGGGGCACTTCCTCGGTGACACTGAAGCCAGAATGGCATCTGTTATGGATCTTTAGATCTTCGCTTTAAATAGCAGATAAATAAAGCTGCTGTTGCAGACGCAAGCGTAATTCCTCCAAAATAGCGGGTGGAATCCATCCATGGGCCCATTCGAATGTCAAAGCACTGAACACACCATTGTCTATACTACTAATGAGTCTTGATAGTTTTGTTCTAGCCATACACTTAGACTGTAGCACCTGCACACAGAATCTCTAGACCACGGACGAATGAGCTATCATTCTTTTGCCAAATGTAGGGATGACATGTCTTAGCGGAAACCCAGCACATTCAGAGTAGCATCCGATTCTGATGGAGACCACATGATCTCTGGGCCGTGGGCTGCTTCCTCGGTCATGGAGTCATGCTTGCCGCAATTCATCTCCTCCCGACATGTTTGAGGGTCCCATCAGAGGTATATTTATGTCCCACAATAAAGACGTGAGACCTTTGGGAACAGAAACATATTAGAAGTCTGTCTTTATGGTGTTCATGCCATATGAGGCTCTCCACAGTCTATACCCCCAAAAAATGCTTTATGATTTGTAGTCATAAATATTGAATAAAGGTCAAGAAAAAAGAACATCAGACTGTGTAGACCAAAAAAAAAAAAAAAAAATGTGTTCATGTCCCAGCTGCACCAGCTACTAGCTGCATGGCCTTAGGTAAGTCGCTTGGCTTGGCTGAGCCTCCAGTGGTCCATCTGTGTGATAAAGAGGGTGCTAATTATTATCAAATCAGTCACGACAGCTGAACTCGCAAGTGCCCCCACATGTCACACCAGGTGAGGAGTGTAACGCTAGCAATCTCTAGTCGTGAAATGGTCCCTGAGGGCCTCTTCCGTGATGGGAGCACAGCGGAGAAGAAAACAGACCCCAGGTTCTGCCTTTGTGGGGGTTACCTAAAGACACATGGAGTGAAGAAAGTAAATGAGAACGTGTGAGGTGGTGGTGATCGCCATGGAGAAGCATGAAGCAGAGACAGGCAGTGCTGCAAGGTGTGCGAGGGCGGGCAGCCAAGGTCTGTCTAGGAAGATGACATTTGAGTAAGGACCTCAAGGAGGAGAGGGAGTGAGCCATGGGCTCTCTGGGGTAGAGGGTTCTAGACCTGCAGGTTGCAAAAGTCTTGAGTCAGGAGCCTGCCTGGTGCATATGAGCAGCGAGGAGGAGGCCAGCGTGGCTGGAGCAGAGGGAGCAAGGGGGAATATTCAAGGAGGCTGGAGAGTTACTGGAGGGAGCAGGGAGCCGGGCACCTGGGTGGCTTAGTCGGTTAAGCATCTGCCTTCAGCTCAGGTCATGATCCCAGGGTCCTCGGATCAAGTCCCGCATCGGGCTCCCTGCTCAGCGGGGAGTCTCCTTCTTCCTCTGCCCCTCCCCCCTGCTCATGATCTCTGTCTGTCTCTCTCTCAAATAAATAAATAAAATCTTGGGGAAAAAATTAAAAAAAAAAAAAAAAGGAACATGTGAGCCATTGTGAGGGCTTGGCTTTGAGCTCTGGGAAGCCACTGGAGAGTTTTGGGAGGACTGCCATGAGCCACTCACTCAAATGATGAAGTACATTTAGTCTTCACGACAACCCTACGAAGAGGCACTATCTACATCCCACTTTAGAGATGAGGAGAGTAAGGGTGGGATGGCTGAGTTAAGCCCCTGGGGCAAAGAGGACTCAATTCTAAGATCTCCAGGTAGAGTCCAGTGCCCCTCAACTGTGACATATCTGAAAATCAGGGCACGGTGAAGGTTCTCAATGTGCTCGAGTTCACACAGCCAGTCTGCCTGAGCTGGGACTTGAATTCATATATCCTACCTAGCTTGTCACCTTTTTGTATCCTGGGGAAAACGATTTGGAGGAAAAAGTGTGTACATAAATGTGGTGCCCAATTCAATTGAGTCTAATGACTTTCTGTCCCGTTAGGTCAAACTGGGAAACTTGGAGCTCTACGTCGAGCAGGAAACAGTTCCTACCACTTGGTATTTTCTGATTGTGCTTCCCGTCTTGCTAGTGATTGTCATCTTTGGTAAGTGCCCTGTTTGATTTTGTCAGAGAAATGATTCCCTGGGGCCTCTTGTCAGGCAGGCAGACTCTCAGCTTTCAGGGGCTGTTTGCCTCAGTTGAGTACTGATGGGTACAAACCCAAATCACAACTTTGGGAAAGGAATCACAGGTACACGTTGAGGGCTTTCTAACCATTTTTTAGGATTCCTCATCAATACAAAGCTGGATTGCAAAGATGGCGTCTTGGTGTTTGAGAAATATAGTCCAACTCACTTCCCCGGTACCGTGAATGGCGATTACAAATGTCCCATTTATGTTATTCCTTCAGAATTCCTCTGGCATTTTGGACTTTCACAATCTGGTCAATCTCCTCCTGCCTTCTCACCTCACCAAACACCACCCCCTGCTCCCACCCCAGCTCTGCTTTTCCTGGCAGAACTATGTTTTAGAAGTGTGATATGTACCATCTATTAAAATATCGCAAGGCTCATCTGAGCACGATGATCCCAGGGTGGTTGCTCGCTGGCTGAATCTGGCCCAACAATCTGTTTTGTGTGGCCCACACAGCATTTTTTTCTTAAACCGTGAACTAGTTGATGGCATTTTAAAATTAGGTGGGTCACCTATGTTGTATACCTGAAACCAGTGTAACATTTGTGGCCACCGTACTTCAGTTAAAAAAAAAAATAAGTTGATTCACATTTTTAAAAATATCTCTTGAAAACTTGAAAGCTCTGGATCATTGGATCTCCACTTTTCCATAGCATCGGTTTCCTGGAACTGAATAACAGCAGCCCCTTGAGAGAGCATGTGGGCACTGGGGTTTTGCTGAAGTCCCCACCACTCCCTGTTGTCTCCACCTGGGCCACGTGACTCATCTGCCTTCCTGGTCCCTGTAGCCATTTAGTGTGTGACCTGGTTCTGAGCAGCTTTTCATCCAAAGTCCGGTTCCTCTTGTCCATCTCAGAAATAGAACTTCTCTCCACTAAGAGAACACTTCACATACGTTGATTTAACACAGCGGTTGCCTCTCCAATGCTCTCTGTTACTAGTTGCTACTGTTGCCTTCCATGCACTCCTTCATTCATCCACCCCCACATCCACTTACCTTGTGTCTATGAACACACGTTGCGTTGCTGATAACTGGGCAAGCCTCTGGAGCTGGAGAGCATGAGGGAAGGCTTGGCCCTTTCTCCTGGCGGGTTCTCAGTGCAGAGAGGGAAAGACTTCTGTGTGTGATTAGCTGGCCCAATGGAATGAATTCATTTTGCAGAGGCCCTCTTTTGCCCTGCTGATGATCATTTCAGGTATTTTCTTGGGCTTCTTCTCCAGTTGACCACCTCTGTTCTATAGCTGGAATCCAGAATTGGGCTGGATATTTTAATAATGTCCTGGCTGGCACTGGCTTCGAGTAAGAAGATTACTTATAAATTCTAAATGCTGAGCTCTATTTTGAGAATCCGCTGGTGTTAAGCAGCTGTAGACACCAGTCTCCCCATAGAGTCCTCTCCACTTTGTGACTTACTAGAAGCCTCAGATCTCTTCCTGTGCCATGTGTGACTCACCCCTCCCGTCCCCGCACTGTGTCATAGAGACTGTTTGTGCTCTTTATGGTGAGGTGGGCTCAGTTTGACCCATGGCTTTGGCTTCATCGGTAGCTGCAGAGCCCCTTAAAATTCTCATCCCCTTCTGGCCGTGATTCCAGGCCAGCATGTGTGACCAGCAGCTTGAGCAGGTGTAAAGTGTACAAATATTTTAACCCATCGGTCCCGTCATGAGTGAAAACACGAAGCACCCTGGCCTAGGCCTGCCACCTTCTAAACATCCCCACTGTGTCTTCCCCTGGAGATGTGAGCCATCAAAAACCCACTGCTGGACGGATGTGGCTGCCTCATTCCCTTTGCCTGCTCTGAGCCCATGTAGCCTGAAGTGTGGCCCGAGGAACGCTAACCCCAAATCACGCTCCTGGAGAAAGGGGTTCCGTGGTCACATAAATTTGGAAATCACTGTGCGCCCCATCCTTTTTTGAAGATGCACATGCATGTTATGGTGAAGACTGTTGATTTTGTGAAATGGTCCCGTGAAGAACCCTACTGAGTTTTGTTTCCTCCAGGATCATTCGTATCTACTGGTAGTGGGTCCTTTTATCACGAAGTTGCTGTTAAAGGAGGAAAACCTTTCCAGAATAATAATGTAGTTGACAGTTGTTGAATGTTCTTTTTAAAAAACAACTTCTGAATGCTTTCTGTGGGCTGCTTCTTGCAGTCCTCTCAACATCACAGTGAGGTGTGGGCCCTTTGACAGATAAGGCAGCCAGGCACAGAGATGCTAAGGAACTTACTTGACGTCACACAGCTCATAATTGGCAGAGTGGGAATGTGAACCGAGAACCAAGCCTGTTCAGGGCACTGTCTCAGTAAGAAGCACAGTTAGAAGCAAGACGAAGTGGGGAAAGAAGCCATGTCCCAGATCCGAGGGCTCATTGTGGACCTCTCCGCATATCAGCCAACTTGATCTATGCAAGTCTGGCTTACAGAGCGTGGATCTGTGATTTCCTTCTGCAATTGTGGCTCAACTTTATTTCTCCAGGGATGTTTAGAAACATTGAAAAAAGAATGGAACAATATCAGCGGCCTGTGGCTGCAGGGAAACGTGGCTTATTTCATTACTTTTCAGCCAGCTGGGATCTTTGGTTACAAGTGGAGGTTATTTGATTTAGTTTTTACTTTAAGGTGGGTAGTTTTTTGTTTTCCTGTTGCACTTTAGCATCTTCCTCTTTAGAGTGACTCCTCACTGGGAATTTTTCCTTTTATAAATTCCACCTCTTAAATGCTGTTCTTTCTCTCTCTCCCTCTGTCTCTGTCTCTCTCTCTCTGTAAAAGAAATGTCAAGGTTGGCTTTGTTTTCCTTTTTGTTTTTTAAGTTAACATGTCAATCTGACGCTAGATCTCTGTCTCCTCAGCGGCCGTAGGGGTAACCAGGCACAAATCGAAGGAGCTGAGCCGCAAACAGAGCCAACAGCTGGAGCTCCTGGAGAGTGAGCTCCGGAAAGAGATACGTGATGGTAGGCTCCAAAATTTTATTTGTGGAAAAACAAGGCTTTTTTTTTTTTATCATCTCCCCTCCACCCCCCAAATGGAGCTGGCCACAGTAATGAGAACTGTTTGTATAATAGAAGACATCTGAGCGGCAGGGTCTAGGCCTGGCTCTGTGTTTATTCCAGCCCTGCTCTGCAGCCAACCAAGTAATTATCTATTGTTTCTTCTTTAATGAAAACCAAGGTCATTCTCCGTGTTAGACAAAACAGCAGAAGATCTTATCCATTGTTTGTTGAGTTAAAATATTGCTCTTGGGATTCTGTTTTGCAGGCTTTGCTGAGCTGCAGATGGATAAATTGGATGTGGTTGATAGTTTTGGAACTGTTCCCTTCCTTGACTACAAACATTTTGCTCTGAGAACTTTCTTCCCCGAGGTAAAAGAGCATTGATCATATTCCTAAGGTTGAGTCTTGAATAATAATGAAGGTGCTTGTTGCTATCGCCAAAACAGGTGTTTGCTTCCAAGGCAGGTGTAGATAGTGTGCTTGGTACGAAATAAGGGCTTAAGCCTGAGCAGAGCCGGGAGAAGGGTAATTATTAATTGGATTGATTAGGGTATGAAGCAGTGATGGGTCACTGACGATTATTCTTTGTCCAGTAACAAAAACCTAGGAGGGACAGAAGTTCAGAGTGATGATTTTTGTTTTATTTTACTACCAGTTTAGAGCTGAATTTGTAGTTGGGAAGCAAGCTAGTTTATTTAAAAATCAATAAATTGTGGGCTGGCCAATTTGTTGTGTTTATCTGCATGACTTCCATTGCAGCTACTAGATTATTCACTATTATTTCTCAATTGGAAATGAAAAGTACTATGGGCCAAGAGGGAGGGAGGGAGACATGTATAGACTTTGAGTTGATAGCAGCCATTTTTCACAGTGTTGAGTTCTTAATGGTTCTGTCCAGCAGTTGTTCTTCTGCTGATCAGCCCGTATCATCCTCATTTCACAGAAATATCTGCGCGAAATGATTGATTAACCCATCCTGGGACTCCGAGGAGCAGTCTCCTTTAACCCTTTGGGTTTGCAGTCTTGCTCTGTTCTGATGCCTCCATCTTCTCCCCTACCCACTCAGCCTGCCTCCTTTACACTCCCAAGTCTTGAGCAAAGGGCAGTCATCTGCCTGTCGTCACCTCCACATCCTGATGCCCCGGCTTCACATGCTGCCCTTTTTTGTCCAGAACAGGTGACCACAGAGGGGCCCAACCTCTGGAACATCAACACAGATGATCATATTTCAATCTAGACTTCTAAGCAAAGCCAGGTCAAAACAGAGCTGGTATCACCTTACCAGAAGCTTCTCAGCTACATTTGGCCAGAAGCCTAGAGTTCAGAAACACAGACACATGCAGTAAGCAATTTCCAGTTTCTCTATAATTCTAGAAGCAGACACCATGATATGTGATGCTGTGTCTGGAGGTTGGGATACCTCCATAAAACACCCGCCATATATTTTTTTTTTTTTTTGGTCCAAGACTTACTGTTGTAAATCAAGAAGGCTGTAAATAAGACTTCAGTTTTTTGTGCTTGTACAATACACTTTTTTAAACTTCTCCTCCAAGAGTGCCAGGCAGCAAGACTTGTATTTGCCACCTCATCTATCCATTTCTACAGCAGAACACCACCTAGGGAGGGAGGTCAATTCCCTGAATCAGGATGACTGTGCAGGACATCACGAGTCCTATTTCTCAGCTATCTGAGATCCCCATTAAGAATTTAATAGCAATAAAACAACAGAGATTTCTACCATCAACATGAGGCTTGTGTGGGCTTTTACAGTTAATGATTGCCCTTGAGTGCTGAAGAGAGTAATCTGTGGCCTGAAAAAGAAATTGTCCTATATTCTAAATTCAGTAATCAAGAGCAAGATAAGTGATGAATGCAAAAGACACTATTGCAAGTTGAGTGTTTTGAGGGGGAAAAAAAAATCCCAGGAAAAATGCTGTATTATTTTAGAAGAGAGATACAGTTGACCCTTAAACAACACAGGTTTGAACTGCATGGGTCCACTTATACACGGATTTTTTTTTTTTTTTCAATAAAACAGTACCGTCCTATAAATGTATTTTCTCTTCCCTATGATTTCCTTAGTAACATTTTCCTTTCTCTAGCTCACACTATTATAAGAATACAGTATAGAATACAGAAAACTTATAAAATATGTGTTAATTGACATACAAAAGATGTGTTCATTGGTAAGACTTCTGGTCAGCAGTAGGCAATATATTAGTAGCTAATTTTGGGAAAAAGTTACATGCCAATTTTTGACTGCGCAGAGGGTCAGCGTCCCTCACCCCCCTCCGCTGCATTGTTCCAGCCAAACAGACTTAACTCAGGGTTATGAATAATCTTGAACAGCAACTGGGAAAACCAGGAAAACTCAAGTCAGTAAAGGAGAGGACCAGGGAAAACAGGCATAACTATCAGAACCCTAGCAAGACCTAAGTTAAAATTGAATTTATAATGAAAGATATAGAGGATGGAGGAACATAGTCTGTGATGACAGCCCCAGCTGAAATGCTTTCCAGGCTGCAGATCCGTCCTTGTGTCAGTTAGGCCCTTTACTGATGGATCAGGGGCCACATCCTCTAGGCCCGGAGGTCGGCTGGTAGACCGAGAACTTGAGCAGTCAACACCTACCAGACAACAGTAGACAGAACCAGAGGAAATTGTAGGTTCACAGAGGCCAAGATATTCCCAATTCCTGGCTCTGTACCAGGTTTTTGGCTCTCCAAAGCCTTCCTTTTCATTGTATTGACTGCATCGTTTTGCTGAAAATAGGAGGAGAAATAAGGGTGAGCAGTGCATCCTATCTCCTAGAAGAGAGAAATTTAAATGAAAGGAGGAAGGAGCTTTAGAAAACAGGGAGCCATGGTGGCATTTCTCTATTTAAGGTCAGGAATCAATCTGTTTAAAATGTCTGTCCAGATCAAGTTGGTTCTGCAGAAAAATGTTAGGAACTAGAAAATGCAAACCCAGGGTATGATTTTTCTGCCTATTACTAGGGGAGAGTATGACCAAAATAGTTTGAGGTCTTCTGCTTAGGCTAACAGATTTGAAACTATAAAGCAAAAATTCTCTGCAGAAGAAATTTACTTTAACGAGGTATAAAAATAGCCTAAAGTTTCAAATATTACCCCCCAAAAAGAGGAAGAGAAAAACCTGAATGTTCCAAGTTTTTATTTTCATTCTGTTGACTCATTTAAAGTGTTACTCAGCATGCTTTTAAAATTTAATCCTTTAATTCCAAGAAGACTTATGATACATTAAAAAGGGAAACTCAAATCGAAAAGTTTATATCCAGGAGCAACATAGCATAGCACATAAAAATAATTGTAGAAACCAGCAGGACAATAACTTTGTGATCTAGTTTGCCATAAATTAGTGATAAAAGCAATAAACATAGCTGGGATAGAACTTACTGTGCACGTGTGCATTTTCTTTTCACACCAAGCTTAGGAGATGGGAGTCATGAGCAATGTCAGGCACAGAGAGGTTACATAACTGGTCCAAAGTCATGTGACCAGTAGGTGATAAAACCAAGACTGAAACCCAAGTAATTTGGCTCCAGATTTCTAACTTTTAACCACCCAGCTCACCTCGTCTCCATAACATTGTCTCTTGAGACAGTGGATACTACTAAGCTAAGGCTTGTAAAAACTTATGGACACAACTCAGTATTTATCCCGAGAGGGCAAACTGCTTAAGGAGGGGTCTGCACATTCGCATAATCTTCTTTACCACTTCTTTCACTTTTGAGTCTGTTCTTTGAAAGTGTGAGATGCCTTCCTCTACCAAAAATGGGACTGATGCAATGATAATGATTCTTCTTAGAGGCTTTCAGAATTCACTGGTGCTTCTTGAGAGCTGAATAATTATTTATTATGTATTAGAGGATATAAAATGAACGTAAGCCCAGGGGCCCTTCAGATTAGCAAACAGTGTCTCTACTTTATTAAAACGGACTTGGGTATTGTAACAAAAATACACTATTCATTTCCTTTGGATGTTATGAATAATAAAAGTGTCTCCTTCCTCTCAGTCAGGTGGCTTCACACACATCTTCACCGAAGATATGCATGTAAGTCTCTAAGTTTTCATTTTTAGCCCATGACTGCCTGACTTTCATAGTGTCCTCATTGTCATCATCATCTCCATTATTGAATTTTTGTGAGTTTTTTGGAATCATGGATTCAATATTAAATCATTGTCTTGGAAAACCCATTGTGGATCTACCTCCTAACTTTAAGTTTCTAATATCATATCATATCATATCATATCATATCATATCATATTCATTTTTTTTTTCCAGAACAGAGATGCCACTGACAAGAATGAAAGTCTCACAGCTTTGGATGCCCTGATTTGTAATAAAAGTTTCCTTGTTACTGTCATCCACACCCTTGAGAAGCAGAAGAACTTTTCAGTGAAGGACAGGTATTAGTCAATTTATTTACATTTTGAAAATCTTTAAATAGAGAAAATAAAAACGTGAGCTCCTTATTTCCAAACTGCAACCTGAACCTGGTATCCACATAGCTTGAAAACGTGGATTTATCCAGAGGCCGTTTGGTCGGGGTCATGAGGCCATGATAGCTCTATTTCGGATCACACCACCCCAACACATATTCTGTTTTGAAGACACACACACATACACTAACCCCCCCCAAAAACAGCCGTGAAAAACCCCAACACCAAGAAAACACATGAGTCCTGAATCAAAAAAGCAGAAGTGCTATTTTCTATCTTTAAAACACCTAAACATTTGGGAAAGACATTCACTTCTTGTTTACCACTCTAGTTTAAAGTCTAAGAGCTGAAAACACATAAAATGTCCTGGGGTGAACACTGGTGCATGGTTTTTATGAATTGAGGACAAAGATGGTTGACCTAAGACATTAAAATAACACACATGCCCACAGGACAGCACCCCACTGCCCCTCAGCTTCCGTGGAAACTCCCATCAACATCAACTTAGCCACTGCTGATAGTTAACCTCATTAACTGAGGCTCTTTTTTTATGTGCTTCTTTGTCATCTGTATATCTTCTTTTTTTTCTCTCTCTCTCTGTTTTATTGAGATGGAATTGGCATATAGCACTGTAGAAGTTTAAGGTGTATGGCATAATGATCTTCCTTACACCTAGTGCAAAATGATGACCATAATGAGTTTAGTTAGCAACCATCATCTCATATAGCTACAAAAAAAAGAAAAAAATGAACTTTTAAGATTTACTCTCTTGGAACTTTCAAATTATGCAGCAGTGTTAACTCTAGTCACCATGTTATACATTACATCCCTAGCATTTACTTCTCTTTTAATTCGAAATTTTTGCCTTTTGTCCACCTTCCTCCAACTCCCCCTCCATTCTCCACCTCTGGCAACCACAGATCTGATCTCTTTTTCCATGAGCTTGGTTATTTTTCTTTTTTTTTTTTAGAGTCCACATAAAAGTGAGATCATACAGTATTTGTCTTTCTCTGACTTTTTCATTTAACATAATGCCCGCAAGATCCATCCATGTTGTCACAAATGGCAAGATTTCATTCTCTTGTGTGGCTGCACAGTATTCTGGTGTGTGTGTGTGTGTGTGTGTGTGTGTGTGTGAACACACATATACCACATTTTCTTTATCTGGCCATCTGCCAGATAAAGACAGTTGGGTTGTTTTGATGTCTTGAGTATTGTAACCAACGCTCTATTTTTAAATAGGTGTCTGTTTGCCTCCTTCTTGACCATTGCACTGCAAACCAAGCTGGTCTACCTGACCAGCATCCTGGAGGTGCTGACCAGGGACTTGATGGAACAGTCCAGTAACATGCAGCCTAAACTCATGCTAAGACGCACGGAGTCTGTGGTAGAAAAACTCCTCACAAACTGGATGTCCGTCTGCCTTTCTGGTTTTCTGCGGGTAAGTGTCACCTCCCTTGGCAGTGTCAGAGGTAAGACAATAGGTGGTTATTTTGAGCTGATGTCTCGGCCAGGATGAGTCCTGAGCACTCCATGGTGTCAGCATTTAACCCCTTTTAGACACGGTCCTTCCTAGGAGCACATGGAGGGGAAAATAATATTGTTTTTGCTGTAACTGGCCTATGCAAATGCAGTTCATTTAGACTTTTTTATCTTTTAAACAATTTTATTGCGGTAAGAACAACTAACAAAAAACCTGCCCTCTTACCAGATTTTTAAAGGGTGCAAAACAGCATTGTTATCTGTAGGCACAATGTTGTACAACAGATTTCTAGAACTTACTTATCTTGCATAACTGAAATTTTATACCATTGACCTTTGAGCCCACCTTGACATCAATTGACAACCAGAGCCCAGGAAATGTGCTGAGTGGAAGGGGTGTTTCAGATTGTGAAGAGAACGCAATGCTTGCAGGGTCTCTGAAGCATCTTGGAAATACCCATTTACCTACTAATACTGGAAGCTGATTAAACTCAGTTCTAACTAGTCATTCCACATTATTCCATTTGTTTAGCAAGTCCCCAAAGAGCCACCCATCCCTCGAGTTTCCTTTGTTGGAGTTATTGTTTGAATGTGGTTGTAGTCTGATTGAATCTTAAAATTATTTTTGAGTGCCAACTTGGTGTAGATCTAGCGGGTAAGGAAGTGGGTCTTGGAGCCCACTGCCTGGTCTGCATCTGGACCCCGTCACTCACTAAAGGAGGCTTCTGCACCTCTCTGAGCCTTGGGTTTATAACCTGGAGCCCTGGAAGAAGACTATCTTAGGGCCGCTCTGAAGCCTAGATGAGAAAATGGATGCAGTGGCTTAGCACCAAGTAAGCACTCCATAAATGTTGGCCGGTACTGTTCTAAAATATTAATAGGACAAGAAGAGTGTTCTGTTGAACCCAATCTTTGTTCAGCCCCTCTGTGGCCCCTGGTACAGAGGGTTCTTATCCTTCTTTAATTTCACCAGACATCCAGATTCCAGCAAAACTGCATAATTGTGTATTTGTAGCTAGTTCCAAAATCTAATTAAACTTTGAATAAGATACACTGCTACGCCACAGGTTTTAACAGTGCTACTTAAGTTTAGATCCAAAAGCAGCACTTTAAATAGACTGTGCTTAGTTTAATGTTTAATGCAATCTTACAAGTAGATGCACAACATTTTTTTTTTTAAACCAACGACTTCCTCTCCCAAGGCACTACCCATTTATTAAGATTAATGAAATCTGCCTTATTTTCTGTTTACTTGGTATAAATCATCATATGCTTTGGGGAGGTATTGAAGCAGTTATTTCTGGGGCGAATATTTTTGCTTTCCACCATCCTTGCTTCAGCCACAACTGCATCTAAACAGAGGTGGCGGGACCCACACCCAGTTCTGGGTCTTAGTCTCAAAAGTCAGATTCTTGCCCTACCAATGCCACTGAAATCAGAAGCCCGGGGGTGGAGCCCGAAAATCCATGTTTGCCAAGCTCCTCCGGGTAATTGTATGTGCCTTACATTTGAGAATCCTGGGGTAGTAGAAAGAGCACTGGACTAGGACTATTGGTTAGAAGCAGCAGGTTCAGGCTCTAAAGTCATCTCAGCTCCAGTTAGCTGTGTGTCTCTGGCCCTTTTCATCTGGGCAACTGTTACCTACTCATGGAGTGAAGGGCCTAGTCACCGGTTTTAAATTTCTTTCCAGCTCTTTCTTGAGGGATCTTGTGGTTGGAGCCTTGCCCTTGCTGCCCTTGAGCCTTAAACGGGTGAGATGTTCCAAAATCTGGGCCCTCAGCCCAAACGGCTCCCTCAAACAGAAGATTCTGGGTCAAGATTTTGCAGTGCTGATTCAAGAGTATCTTGAGCACTTGAGATGGTGAGGGGTGGCACGCTTACCAGGAGGAAGTGACTTTGAGCCGGCCAGAGATGGTTTCAATTTCTGTGGAAAAATTCCCTCTGGTGCAGGGGTTCTGACTTCCCACACCGGGTGCCCAAGGGGATGTGGGACTCGGACAGCCTTGGTCCTTCTGCCCTATCCCCCAGACATTTGCCTAGATGCCACTAGCTCTGTGACCCCCAGGTAACCTCCTCCTTAGAGCTTCCAGGGCTCTGTGAGTGAAGTAATAATACCAACTGCCTTTACTGAGCGTGCCAGATAGCATGCGAAGAGTTTTGCTTACTTTTTCTCACTGAATCCTCTCATTTGATCCTGTGAGGTAAGGATCGTTATGACCATTTTGCACTGGGGGGATTGGGAGCACTCGGAATGGATGTGCCTTCCACCAGATCCCACAGCGGGTGTGGGATGGCACCAGGGTTTGAGAGCTCCTAGCTACTACCTCCCCAGTGAGGCAGGCACCTTCTTATGGGCTTAGGGAGGGTTTAGGGATGGAACGAGATCACAGGCATGAAAGCCTCTGGCTGAGCCAGGGCCAGAGTCTAGTCTCACAAAGGAAAGGAAGGTGAAGGGGCCGAGCTTAGTTACCATCCCAGGAGAGGGAGGGCAGGCGTGGTCCGGTCAGGTGCACTTGGCCACAGCCAGCCCACCCGCGGAGCTGCGTGTTCCCTGCTCTGTAAAGACGCCTAAGCCCCCTGCAGGTATGACTGAGGACTCGTGTTCCATAGTGACAGAGAAACCTCATGGTTTTCGAAGCCGGCCCCATATCAGAATCCCCTGGGAAGGTGTTCAAACCACAGATGCTCAGGCCTTGGTTCCAGACATTCTGGGTCTGTGGGTCTAATGGAGGGCCCAGGCATCTGAATTTTTCATGGGAGCCCCAGGGAATGCTGGCAGTGATCACCCAGGGTTAGAACCGTATAAGACAAAATATCACTTCTCTCAGTCTGGTTGCACTCTGGAGAATTCTGGGGAATTCCTGACTACAGAGCCACTGAGTCTGTAGCTGCCCTTCCACACAGCCCGGCAGAGCCCACCTGGCCCCCAACTGCACCCTCGGTGGCCCATCCAGCCCACGAGGACACTCACCCCTGTCTCTGATGTGTGCTGGAGGGAAAAGGAGAAGTAGAAGTTCTGGGTTTGCAGTCAGGACATTACCCCAGGGGGCAGAGGGAAAGAGAAGAGAGCAGTGTGGTTGTGAACCACTAAATAAAGGAAGTTTCCCATAAGAATTAAAATGTTAGGTGCTAGTCCCAACACTCTCCCCACCTGGGAAATTTTTGAACATTCCACCTCTGTCCTACACTAAGGAAGAGACTCAAGGATATGTCAGCAGGGAAGAGAAAAGTGGTAACTATCCCACACCAGCTGTGGGATCTGGGGAAAATCATAGCTATTCCGTGTGCCCCAATGCCCGCCCTGTGCAAAATGGTCATAAGGATACTTACCTCACAGGATTAAACGAGAGGATTCAATGAGAAAAGGTAATGGGAAAAGTGACGGGAAGCCAGTGGACAGTGGGGTGGCCGAAGGAAGCCCTGGGACTGGAGAGGGCACATGTTCTTGCAGGGAGGGGATGGGACAGGCGGTGGGGAGGGGTGGATGCCAGGAGTCTTACATGAGGTCTCCATTTACTTGGTCAGGGCAGAGCAGGGGAGAGAGCTAACAGAAGCCTCCTTTGCAAGCTGGGCCGTGAAGCGTGGCTGGAAACAGTGCTTCCAGCCTCAGTCGCTTGGCTGGCTTCTTCATCACGAAGGGTTTGACTTCTGGCCCTAGCTCTCCCTCTTCCACATATTTGGTTAATGTCCGTTGATTGTAGACACTGATTACCTGGCGAGTGTGCTGCTGCCGACCCAGGGCTGCATGCTCTGGGAGGCTTCTGGGGAAGCAGAACACACAAGCCTCCCCCGTGAGCGGCTCAGAGTCCACGCAAGTGCAGTGTGGCTACAGGTTTGAGGCATCTCACTAACCATGAGCAGGCGAGCCCCGGTTGAGGAGCAAGTGCCCGTGGCAGAAGTTTGGAGACAGACGCCATTGGGATGGGCCGAATCCCGGGGACAAGGCTTCGAGCAATGGACTTGGCTCTGGTCCAGGGAAGGGAGTTCAAGTGCATCAGTGGCCGTGTACCAGCCAAGGTGCACAGGGGAGTCTGTACACCCCCGGCTCAGCAAACCGCAGCGAGCTGGCCGGGATGGCTGCAAGTTGTGATAACTAAAGGCCACTTCCTTCATTAGAAGCTCTTAACACCAAAAAAGCATCCTCCTTGGCAAATGTACAAAATGTTCTGACATTTATTCTGGTTACCAAGGCTAATTGTTGTGTATTTTTTAAAATGCCATTTATTTTTGGTTTGCTCAAAAAGGCAATTAAATATGAATGTAAACGAAGGTTAAACCTCCGCATCTACTCTAGGCATTAGCCAGCTGATGAGCATCAGTTTGCCATATAGAAGCTGAAACATAAAAGAACCATCGGCTGAGGATTTCATGTTGCTGTTGACTGTAAATGCTGGGAGTCTGTGCGCGGGCACGGGCGTGCGTGCGTGTGTGCGCGCGCGTGGGCGCGGGCGCGGGCGATGGGGAGAGGACGCGTCTCCTGAGTTTTGCACCCAATCCTGAGCGGAGCAGTGTGTATTTTCTTGGGAGTCTCATGTTGATTGTTAGAAAACACTGCCTCCTGCCTCCTGTCGCACTGCCATAAACTGAAACTTTAACTCTTTGGAAAGTACAGTGGCTTCCGCAGACAGCTGACTGTCACTTTTGTGTCTCTTCCAAGGAAACTGTTGGAGAGCCGTTCTATTTGCTGGTGACGACTTTGAACCAGAAAATAAACAAGGGTCCCGTGGATGTAATCACTTGCAAAGCCCTGTACACCCTGAACGAAGACTGGCTGCTGTGGCAGGTTCCAGAGTTCAGTACTGTGGTATGTTTGCAACAAGCCTCCCCCCAGCCCCGGAAAGAAGCCTGGCTGGGAGCTCGGTGGCGGGGTGGGGGCAGGCGGGTCACTTAAAACAAAGCGATATCATTCCTACTGCGGGAGGCCTCAGACGATGAGTTAATTAAAAACAGTAGTTGATAAAATATTAACACGTGTTCACATAATAGATTTTAATTACTTGGATGGGGGGGAGAGAATTGTAATGATGCCTGGGGAACTCATCAATTTCCAAAGATTTTAATATCAGGATAGCTTATAGCTTTTCAGCATCGTCAAAGGAAATGCAAAGCACTCCCTATTCAGCACTTATAATTGCAATCAGAATTTCTCAAACGGCTCTGCTCTGGAAGACAATGTGTGAAGATATATTTCAACCAAATTGAGGCCGTCTTATTTTAGAACGATAACAAGACAAATTCCACTGTGTTCCCCGTGCAATATGACACCCTTACTTTATTTTCATGGATTAGTTACAAATGTTTGGTGTCACGCACTTAATGTTCTGTGATCTCATAGATATTTTTAGAGGAACGCTGTAAATCACTACAGGAAGATGATTGCCTGGCTGCCGGAGGGTTTCACCCATTTGAGGACTTCTTTTCACCCGTCCCCACCCCACCCCCACCCCCTTCCCTTCCTAAAGGAAGAGAGAGGCATTTCTTGCACATTCACAAATTGTAGGGAGAGGGCCAAGCATGACAAGTGTCTCCAAAATTACTTAGGCATTTTCTGTGCTTTTCCGTTCGTAGAGACTGGGGAAAGAGATCGCTGTCATTTGGTTTGATCTTTAGCTTTATGGAGACTCGGGGCTTCTTCACAATCTTGTTAGTGGAGGAGGAGGGAAAAAAGACAGTGGGGTTTTGGTATTACCCAGTAAGGGGGCTGAAGTTTCCTGTGGCTTAGCTCTGGAGGGCGAGACCTGTGGTATCATCCTGGAAGAATTCATTCCCTAATTGGAGAAGGCACCATGTCGCTGTGGGCTGTGTTATGGTTATGTGCTCTGGTGGGTGAATAGTCCACAGATCAGCTGTTTCCAGTTCTAGGTCACTGCCGGATGTAGTTTACCCTCCGCTGAAGACGGTGCCCTGCTCAGCCGCCATCCACAAGCCAGGAGCCTGAATAGAAAGTTAACATTTCTTGTGTTCTGATTTCTGTGTATGTAACTGTCTGTGGCCGAGAGGAGGTGAGGAGCAGTGGTTCTCAAACTAGCATGCAGCAGTGAAGAGCACAGACTCTGGCCGGGCACACTTGCAATCCGCCCCTGCCCATCTGTGTGACGTAGGGCAAGTTTCCAAACCTCCCTGTGCCCCAGGCTCCTCGCCTGTAAAATGGGGAGGATGATCACCGTGCGGGTTTCACGGGGGGCATCACAGCGGTTAAGAGCATTGACTGCCGGGCACCTGGGTGGCTCAGTCAGTTAAGCGTCTGCCTTCGGCTCAGGTCATGATCTCGGGGTTGTGGGATCAAGCCCTGAGTCGGGCTCCATGCTGGGCATGGAACCTGCTTGGGATTTTCTCTCTCTCTCTGTCTCTCTGTCTCTGCCCCGCCCCCTGCTCTCATGCACGCACATGCTCTCTCTCGCTCTCTCTTTTTCTCTCTCTCAAAGAAATAAATCTTTAAAAAAGAAAAAAAGAAATGCAGATCCAGACAGACCAATGCCCGGGTCTTCCGTCGGGACTGATGAAATCAGAACTGCTGGGGACGAAGGCCAGGCATAGACAGACGTTTCTTAAACACCCCAGGTCGTACCAACGACCTTCAGCATGTGTGGAGAGGGCCCCTAGGTGTCTTGGAGAATGAAAGACAAACTTTGCATCAGGGCTTGTTGAGTTGATACCTTTCCTTACGATTGTTGGAGGACAAATGCAGGGCCTTGGTCCCACCCCAAAGATGTGTATGCTTTTACTTGGAAACATTTTGGAAGGCCCACAGATTCCCAAAGAGAGACAGGTGCGAGTGTCTGTAGGTTGGGGGAGTCACGTTCATGAAAACGTGAACCCCGATGGGAAGGAGAGGACCAGACTGGGGGTGGGGCAAGAAGCCAAATGCCTGAAGCAACTTTTGAGGTTTGAGTCCTGTTTAATGCTTTACATGGCAACACTTTTTCCGCCTTTCATTCTGAAACATTATTTATTTCACAGTCAGTTAAGACCATGTGTTTCAGATTTGTTAACTCTCAACTGTCATCAAAATGTTTCTTGATGTTGAAGGAATTCATGTTGACTCTTGGAGTCTTTTTTCCTTTATGGCCCCTGGGGAAAAGGCGAATGGGAAATTGTGGTTTTAGAAATCCAGATAAATCTTGCTTTTCAAATGCGGATTTGCCAGTAGACAGAGACTAGAAAAGGGGTGGGCCACTGGTTTCTAGGGGCCTTGCTTTGAAAATGATTTTTAATGCCTTTTATTGCACCTGTCCCAACCTGTTTCATGGTAGATGGTTATATTAGAACCTCCAGAGGAGGCACATGATCGGGGCCATGCTTGTGTGACAAAATGTTAGCAGAAGGTCAATATAAACAATTTAAGGTTTTTCATTTCCTTTCAGGCAAGTTCCCCCAGTCTTAACCATCATATTACAATTTTTTTCTTCCTCCCCCTCCCTCTCCCCCTTTCTCCCTCCTCCCTCCCCCTCTTCTCACCTCCTCCTCTCTTCCTCCTTTCCTCTCCCTCCTCCCCCTCCCTCCTTTCTCCTCCCTCCTCCCCCTTCCCCCCAGCACTCAGCCAC